AGCCCCTTAATACATAATATAACATCTACTTATAGGAGATATATAAAAATGAATATCTGCCTGTCTGTCCTTTATGCACTAGTACACCGTTCATTCGATCGCCATGAAACTTTGGGAAGTTGTTGAGTACACTCCCGCGAAGGTAACTGGCATAGTAATTTTCGAAAATTTCACCACTAAGGATGACCTCAAACACGAACTTTGTACCTTAAATACGACATGTTCATAACGTTTGTAACCATGGTAGCCACGGTACTCGAGCAAATGGTAGGTGATGATTAAAGGAACAGGCCGATTCTATGTACCACGAATCTGGGCAAGATTTTAACTGTTGGAACGGCACCCTTGAATAAAAGGAGGACATAATAACCGAAAAAAGTGTCATAAAAACGCTGTGACGCTGATAAGAGTTAGGAGATTAGAGATTATAGATGAGGGATGGGGTTGGGGATTGGAATGAAGGTGGGGATGGGGTGGGAATGGGAATTATTTTACTCAGCCCTGGCAGACTAAATCTCGGGCAACGCCCGGGTAACGCCGGGTCCGGACAGCTTGTAAGAGATAAAAACAGATAATTTTTGTTCGTTTTTTGACTTAGGTAATAAAGGCATATTTTAAATATTTCCGTTACTTAAATTAAACAATTAAAGATAATACAATTTAATATCCTGTTTGCTGGTGGTCCGTTAATAAACCAATAACTAGATAATTAAAAAACTTTTTGTTTTGTTGATAAAGATGCAAAAAAAAAAAATCATATCTTAGTGTTTTTTTTTTTAGTATTAAACGGACTGCAATCTGATTCAACGATAAAGCCAATTTTTTTTAACCGACTATCGTTGTGTTTTTACATAATTACGGCTACAATTAATTATTTTAATTGATTCATAATTATATAATATTATGAAACGTCATCAATATGATACAACATCCATAGTTTTTACCGTAACAAGCCTACAGAATGGTCCGTCGTATCTCAATAAGTTTATACCCTGCTGTTATTTTTCACAGTTTCAACGAAAAACTTATACTCGGACATTCTGTCTATCTATTAATAGTCCAAATGCTGCTAATTTTTTCAGGTTTTTTTTTCACCCCATGAGTATCCCTGTTTTTATTCATAAAAGAAAATTATAAATTTGACGGATAAACAGGGAGACTAAGGGGATGAAATGAAAATATGAAAAACACGTATCCAACGTGGAATTTCACAAAAACACAATATAAGGACCACCTTAATGTATATACCTACTTCAATTTATACTATTCTTGTATCATTATAAAAACTTTCATGGACTTTCTAGAGTTAATGGAAATATCTGTTGTTTTTGGTGAAAAACTGACGTTTTAACTCAGCGGAGGTGTAAAAAACGGACTGTTATTGTTTTATATGATTTTCTACCTTAAAATTATAAATTTGTCCCCATATACTCAATAGATAAACTAAAAAGTTGAAGTGCTTGAAATACAACTAATCCAATTACACGATAACTTTAATCGGATACTCTAACAGTATTATAGTTAAGCATGTTTCAATGAAAATAAAGATACAAAATAAGTAAATTTATTAATGTGCTGTGTGCACCGACTAAAAAATAATGGTCTTGATGATGTACAAAAATAAATTATTATAACCTATATCGTAATATATACACTTGTGTTTTTTGTTTACAAAAATGTTTTGTCTAGTTTATGTGTTAAACATTTACCAACTGCGCAAAAGACGCGAGTCGCTCTACATAGACAGATTTACACTTGAAAAACGGACACCTATCGCACTAATCAACAGTGCATTAATTATAGAAATGAAAATACAATACTCTGCACTGACCCACATATAATAATTTATAATATATATATATATACAAGTTCGTGTATAGTGTATAATGGATACATGTATACATGTTTTATTTATTTTGATTTTATTCATTCACTGTTGAGTATCGGAATTATTGCTGAAAAAGTGAAATACTTTTGTAAACACATTTCGGTAGCGTGATGTCTACTCTTTTAGCGTTACATAATAATACTGTTGTCGACCAAACCCCGTATTGTTCTTTAATGGTCTTGGTCTAGTTTTAAAAATGCTGAAGCGACTAGATATATTTTTATTCTGTCTACACGCAGAGTTTAATATGTCTATGCAGTCGAACGACATTATTATTTTTTTTTTATATATATAACTATATAATAATATACATGTATACGTTTTAAACATGCCGTTCTGAGTTTACTTCGACGACGAGTTCGATTTGAATAACACATGTAAACAAAACTTACTTAACAATCAATAACTCAGAAATCTATAGTGTCTATCTCTTCCTCCTCCCTCCCATCGACTTACACGTGTGTGATAACAGTAACCTTGATCGTCCCGATCAAATAAAAAAATCAATAAAACTCTTGTAATCCGTTATTCGAAACAGGGTTTTACAGACGGATAGGGTATAGATTGATAGTTAGCAGGAGATTATATTTATACAAGTTTGGGGCGATGGTCTTACCTCAATATACATAGTAATGAAAGTTGTCGAACGCCCGAGTATCACTTTCACTGTACATTATTTAGCACCAGAACCAACTCTGTTGTTTTGAACTTTAGGGGTTATAAAATAAATTGTAACTTACAACAAATTTGTATAGTTGCATGTATCTGCACTGTGTACCTTTAATTTTAATTAAACGTTTTAACCACGTTTTAATTTTATATAAAAACAACGAAAATATTTGTTTTAAAACAGTAATAGACAATGGTTTAGACTTTTGTAGGGGCCAAAAGCTCTACTAAAACTTCTCTTATACCGCTTAGTACGCATAATAATAAAATAAATACGATTATTATAAAATTAGTATTATTATTAATAGGTATTAGTAGTTTCAGCCGTGTTCCACCGACAGCAATAACCCTAACAACACCTTGTCTTCGGAAGAGCACCTCCCCGTTCTCATCCGATGTATGTACACACATCATAATAATATTATAATACAAACATCATACAGATAATATTATTTTTGACACGTCTCTACACGGTCCCGGATTAAAATACAAGGTAGAGTTTACATTTACAAAGAGCGCTGCCGCCGCTATAGTGTATAAAGGGTATATAGTATAGCCATGGGTAAAATCCTGTGACAGGAGAAGCGGGAGACCGGTCGAAGAGATCGGAAAGACCGATAAATTTGTCGTGCCTGATTTTGGGTCAAAAAGTGTAAGGTAACAAGTGGTGGTACCTCTATTGGTAAAATAATAATACAAATAATACCACGACAACGGTGGCAAAGATGAATGGGAATTATTTGTCCCCACCATATATATATTTCAATCGACGAAATACACACATTTAATGTAAAAAAACCTAAAAGTTACAAAACTCTGGTAACGACAAGGCGCTTTAGCCTCTTTGCTCCTTAAACCAATATAACGCTTGTATTTATGTCTGTGTGCTTGTGTTATGGACAACACATATAATTAAGTCAATTGCCAAACCAATAATTTCAAGCTATAATATTATTATGTGTTAAAATACACCCCTGTACAAAGGCCACCTAACCTAAGTAACATCGTACCTCCTCAGCAACGACATAGAAAATACACCTCAGAAGCAACGCTGTCCATCCATACCTTTGTCAACTCCCTACTGGGTCCCCTTAGACTTGAGTCAGACAATTGAACATGGAAACCCGTTGTTGTATCAAATCTAACCTTACCTAATCTAAGAAGGGGTTAGCTTGGAAAGACTAACCTCTTAAACATTTAAAACCTAAAATATAAGTTGAGAGGCCTAACTCTAATAATTCCAACCTATTTATTGGGTTCTGTTTAAATATTAGAAGGGACTTTACCTCTACAAGTCCCCGCTGATCTCTACCAACTACTAATGTAAACGAGTACCTAATAAAAATGATAACCGTCAACTCGGTTAAATTAATTAAGTTACTTATAAGTGCATTATGTACACACGCTTGTAAACAACGCATAGGATAGACAATTACCAACCCTGTTTATCAAAAAAAAAGATAACATTCTGATTACAAAATCACGGATTGTGTAAAAGTAGTATATAAGAAACCAGTAGTATATAGACAACCGTTTATCGTTAGATATGCTAAACAAAAATTAGAGACATTTTGCAAATGTATGTATATATATGACCAAATCTGAACTAGAAAAACACAAGCAATGATGTAAACAATCCCACTAAAAAAAAAAACCAAAGAATAATAATAATAAAGATGTTTATAGTTTAGCGCATTAAAGTGGACAACAGCTGAAATCTAATCAATAATTAATCAGCAATAGCTACCTAATGTGTGTCGTTCGTTTCAACTTGAAATACTTATTATTATTCACCTATATAAAAAGTATAACATGCAGATGCACGTGTTTCCGTCACACTTTAAATAAACAGATTTTTTTTTAGATAGAGACAGATATGAAAACTGTAAATGAGACTTTTCTAAATGTTTATTGGCCTTTTTTTCTACGAAATTAGTGTAAAATATGGGTAATCGTTTAATTGATTTTTCTTTATATTCTTAAGTACCTTTCCAGGGTGACCACAGGAAAACGTGCCCCTCCGATGGTCTTTTTTATAATATACATGTGTATAGGAACGCAATCTGTCGATTGTTGTAAATCCCTTTGACCTTAATAACTTGTGCCCCCTCCTCAGAAAAAATGTGGTTACAATAATTGTAAAAAGATATAATCTTAATCAGAAATGTAATATGCGTATAATTTTTATACAAAGAAATTTTGTAATTTAAACAAGGAAATTGGAATCTGCAATCTACCGACATTATTTCAAACAGACTTTTACCGCGAAACGTTGTTTTTGGAAGTGGCGTTCTTTATGTAAAAAGTTTGAGTGCAGCAAGCGTTGGCAACACTGCACTGCAAAGATTGGGTGGTCACACCGCAACAGCCTAGTGTTTTGCCGCGAAATTGCCGGTCGAACGCGTACAGCAGCTGACGTTTAAAAAAGGCGGTAAGTTTTTCTTGTCAGACTTCAGACAATACTTTACCGCCATTTGCTGTTCAGTTGTAGCGTTCGTCATTTATTGATATTCTTTTTGTCATTTTTTCATCCGTAGCCTGTATTCGTCATCTCGCTGCCATTGGCCATTCCTGTAAATCCGTATTGTGGTCATTTAACCTCGTTCGGTCTTGTTGAACGATAATTTTTTCTTCATTTAAGAAAATGCCTAGCCCCGTGAAAAAAGTGAAGTTGGATTCCACTCTGTGCTCCGACTCGGTGCTGGCCTTTGCCAAGTTGACCGAACACGCCTACCCGCCGACGAAAGGCAGTCAGTTGGCCGCCGGTTATGACTTGAGAAGGTAATGAATTATTATAATATCTTATTATTAGATTGTCAATACCTAATATTATGTTTTCCACGATTATCACAGTGCTTACGCTTACACCATAAAAGCACATGGCAAAGAGCTGGTAAAAACCGATATCCAAATCAAAGTGCCGCACGGAACATACGGTCGCATCGCACCCAGATCGGGTCTGGCCTGGAAGAACTTCATCGACGTCGGCGGTATGTCATCGTTAGTTGTAATTGTACCTATTAAATTATTTTTAAACAATTTGTTCTTTTATTTTAGCCGGTGTAATCGATGAAGATTACCGTGGCAATGTAGGAATAGTCCTTTTCAATCACTCTGATGATGAGTTCACAATTCAACCGGGCGATAGGGTTGCTCAGTTAGTGTGTGAGAAGATAGCTTACCCCGAGATAAGAGAGTTAAAAGTAAGCCGATATTATCTGCCAAGATTTTTTACAAATATGTACTTATTATGATGTTTGCTTGTTACAGTCGCTCGATGAAACCGAGAGAGGCGAAGGAGGATTTGGTTCAACTGGAACTCAGTAATTTGTTTTACTTTTCCTATTATAATAACTAAGGTTTTTAAATGTGATATACTATAAGTAACATGTTGGGACATTCCATGTGATTTTTTTTTTTTAATTTTGTAAACAAGGTATTTAATAAATAATATAATAAAACAAATACGTTGCTTTGCTTTTTTTTTTTAATAATTTTTATATTTTTTAAAAATAGTTTTTACAGTTACATTTTATTTTTATGTTAACTGTAAAAAGTTCATTATAAAAATGTTGTAAAGTACATTTTCACATGATTCATTTTGAATATATACATACAAAATTGTTGTTGGTGACTGCCACAAGGTATTTACCGCTACAATGTACGGCACATTTTGCAACAACTATATCGTAAATATCGACTTCTAGTTTTTTCTTTTTTTTCAAGTAACTGTCATGAACTTTGGGCCACTTCAGAACCTTATTAGGATCGATGGTTTCTGTATTTTTTTGTACGGTTTTAAAATCTAAATGCTTAAGATCATATATCCAAACGCCCCCTTTATCATCGCCACATGCCACAAGCTTGCCACCTGCGATATTGTTAATATTAAGGGACGTTATTTACATTAAATAAAAACAATTTTCATACATACCTAGTCCTATCCCACAACTCATAAAATAGTTGTCAGTATCGCTCCAATTAAGTATATACGTAGGTTGAACAACACATTTATTATTGTTCATATTTGCCAACACAGTTTCTAAATTGAATATATAAATAACACCGTGTAAAGCGACTTTCGTCGCTATCCAACTTCCATTGACAACTTCGATGCAATCTATCACTTTTTCATGTTGATATTTGTACAATTCGTTTGGGTTTGCGGGAAGTTCAAAAACTGTAGGTTTGTGGCTATACCTAAAACAAGAGAAAGGTATATTTTTAACATGTTAGTGACTTTATGAGGGCGGTCCCAGTTCAAGTAATTCCCATATAGGTGAACTAGGACCGCTCTGTCAGCTTGTGTTTTAAAGAAAACTTTTAACGCGGAACTGAATAGGTATTGTTTTTAATATAATGTATCTGGCTTATCAACAACCTTTTAACTACTACCAAAATGTCCACATAATACTTTTCTGAAGACCTGTGATCTCTCCATCCTTATTATGCTGGCTTTTTAAAATTTCCATTAACCCTTTAAGTACTCGCGAGGTTTTAAGTTACACCTTTGTTCGTGTGGTGGCAATTATACTGCTCTCAATCGTGATAGGGTAAGTGTAGAAAAATTTGCATTTTCTTTTGTGTTATTTTTAAAGCAAGAGAATACCCACCAAGCTTTTTTCAAAAACAGCTGTATAAATGCCAGTGCCAATGCGAGTGATCAAAAGTTAAAGAACATCATACTTAAGGTTATTTACTTATCACTTATTGTCGTTCCCATCAGACCTTTGTTGGTAGCGATGAGTAGGTAATTCATTTTTTCACAAACAGTTAATCCAAATATTTCACACTCCGTTTCAATAGTATTTAACTGCACAATATTTACTATGCGTGAACCATCAATATCAAATCCGAGTATAAAAATATTTCCAGTATTAACGGCACCTATGAAATAAATGAACATAATTTAAAAACAACAATTATTGTATTACATTTAAATTGTTATTTTAAACATATTATGCGTCTACTGTTAAAAATTATAATAGCTGTAAAGCCGGTCCCACACGACTCGCGTATTTGGCGAATAATCGTTAATCGCTATGCTTTACGAGTCGTGTAGGAGATGTTTAATCATAAAGTAGACAATTATTTTTACTCGGAGAGTCAATCGTCGTTTCCCGATGGTTGTCGGTAAACATGACACGTGTCAAAGGGATAACGAATAACTGTATGAACAATATTGTTGTGTCTCCCAGACGACTCGGAGTTAATATAAATATCGGCGAATAATTCGGTGAGCATCCACGATGACAATGATCGTCAAGTACACGAGTCGTGTGGGACCGGCTTAAGAGCATATCAATTATTTTATCTGCCTTATATTTTGCTGATAAGCTAAGATACTAGATAGAAAAAAATATATAGGTACTAACAAAATAGCTTTCTCTCATATGGATGAAATATAGTTGAACAAACAAATACTTTTCTGAGCTTCTTGCTTTGAAATAAATTATAAGTGAGATACGCTGATTCAGACTGTAGATCTATAAACACAATAGTACAAGCAGTTCCAGACGTTACCAATATATTGTTGTTAGGGCAAGCAGTACACCACGACACAGTATACAATAATCCTCTGTAAAAATATATTATCTATAATTATATTATTAAAATGATATTGTCTCTTGTTCCGTTTTATAAACATAAAATTAGATACTAAATTCAATAGTATTGATTTCTTGGAGGTAAGATCTTATTGGTAGGCTTTATATGGTTCTAAATGTTGGTAATATTTATAAAAAATTACTTTGAATAAGAGTATCTATATTGAACAATGCCAGTTTTGACGTTGATTACACAAACTTTATCGCCACCGCATGTAGCAACCAAATAAGACATTTTAGAACCGACGTTTGGTTCAAAAACCGCTTGCCAAACCTGAAATTTTTTATTTTAACATTTGATTTAAAAGAAGTCACAGTGTTAAAAAATAAAATTTATAATATAATTAATTATTACCTGTGTGGAAACATTTGCTGTGTCGGTGTCTGTTTTAGAATGACATCTTAAAAAATGTTTCGGTTCAAATTCCATTATAAGTTTTAAATCTTGTCTAATATTCCGACTATTTATTGTTTTTATAATATTATTTTATAGATATTTTTAAAAATTTGCATTTATTATTTTTTCTCTTTTATTTATTTATTTATCAATAATAATTATCAAAATAATAACAAATCCAGAATGTAATCAATGTATCTGTTCAAATTTTAAGATATTAAAGAACAAGTTCCCTCCATTTCTATTAAAGATAACATTGTTTATCTTAAAATTTGATTAGACGTTTACTTCCAGGACCATTGGTTTATTTTTCCACGTTCTTCTTCATATTTCTTATCAATCGACATAGTGATAAGATATAAATGAACACCAAACACGTGAGTGATAGTAATTTATAATACAAATTTGCTTGCTTAAAATTAATTCAATACTTACATTTTATACATTAATACTCTATAATATTATTATATTACGAGTTGGATGTGATTTTTCAAATAAAATGGAAGAGGAGAATAAAACCATAACGGTGCACATGGAAACATTAGATCTACACCCACAATGTTCACACGGTGAGTTTAAATTATACTTATTTTTAACAAGTCTTCTCAGATTTATTCGAATCTAAATACTCAGTAATTTTGTCAGACCTATTATTATGTACTATTATAATTATTCCTCTTGTTACCGCGTTGCCATTTACCAATAGAATCAGTTGCCAGTTGGTTAAGTTCCCTAAAAGTGTATGAAAACATTATTATACCATCACCTTTAACAACACCGTAAAACTTAACAAAAAATTAATTAAGAATCGCCAAAAATGTGACTGGGCCTGACCTGTCAAAGTATTTACCTTAACCAATTTCAGTCAGTTAAACAGGATGTGAACTTGGTCGTTTTAAACTAATAATTGTAAATACCAACTGTGTAATACATAATATTAAATTTATCATTTATAGTTTCTTCAAAATTGTTCCTTTTTATATTACAAAACTTATTATCTGCCAATATTCAAGTTAAACATTTTTAAAACTAATTGTTGCCATTGATTTTTTTTCCAGGTCCAACACTGTTATTTTCTCGAGGTACAGATGGTAAAAAATTTTACTCTTGTGCTGCCTATAGAGACAAGAAAAAGTGTCCCTTTTTTTTGTGGGAAGATCAAAGTGGTGAAAAATATGTACAGCAATTTGAAAGAGACCCAATCATTTCAAAAATGTTAAGATATAAACTGCAATCAAGGTATAGTTTTGTTTTTTTTTTTAAATATTTTAAATTTTATCCTTTTTTTTTCTTTTAGGTATGAGCTTGTCAAAGGTTTAAAACCAGAAGACCGTATGTATTGTGATAAGTGTAATCAACTATTCCCAAAAATTGAAAAAGTAAATCACTTAGACCACGAAGAAATGCTTAGAGATAATATTGACGATTACAATTTGTCTCATCCATCACAGGTGTTTGTTAGAATTATCACTTTACAATATTGGAAACTTCCTGATTTTCAGATGATTTGATTAAAAGTTGAAAAACAGATTTGTAGATGAGAAATAATTTTGACCGATATGATTTTATGAGAGTGAATGAGAAATAGACCATGTTCGTCTCATCAACATTGTGTATTAATATTATCGTTTATTTTTTACAATTAATTAACCTTTGTAAATTTTTATTTTTAGTTACTTAGACCAATTCAAGAGACAAAAGGAGAATCGCAATATTTTTTTACCGATACCACAATTGACGCGTTTATAAGTATATTCAAGTCGCTCGGTATAACTTCTCTAATATGTCTAGGAGCTCCTACCGTTCATGAAAAAATTGTTTGTGAAGTATCAGAAATCAACAGCACATTGTTAGATATTGATCACAGACACGTAATAATATTTTTGTTTATTCGGTAGTAATTTATATCCAACATTGTTTTATAGTATTTGTTTTTAATTTTAGATACAATTTTACGAGTGCAACAGATTTCGATGGTTTAACATGTTCAATTGTCACGTACTTGAAGAGTGTGATACTGAAATTGTTTTAGAAGACTTACTGAGTCAAACAGAATCCATGGCATTACTCCTCGATCCGCCATTTGGTGGTAGACTCGAACCGATAGCTTATACTTTAAAAAAATTTGACGAAATTAGGAAAAAAAACAACAAAAACATATTATCGAGTAATCATTTAAAATAGTTTTATGTAAATTTTATATATTATATACAGTTTGCAATAATTAATTTACTACATTTTTTTTTTCAGAATTTTTAATATTACCTTATTTTATGGAACGTCATGTCATAAATTGTTTACCTGAAATGACCATGTTGGACTATAAAGTGGATTATGTTAATCATAAAAAATTTAATGATTCGGGTACTAATAATTTATGGTATTTAATGTATTTTATTTATATTTTAATCTGTATAAATAAAACACTAACATTTTTAGGAAGAAATAAAGGGTCGCCAATTAGACTTTTTACTAATGTCAATCAGGCTAAGGTAGCATTACCTGTTGAAGAAAATTACAAGTTTTGTGAAGAATGCGACCGATGGGTTTGTTCAGAAAATTTTCATTGTTACCAATGTGGCGGTTGTATGTCCAAGGTAAACAAATGTCGTTCTTTTCTAAGAAAAAAATATTTTTATCCATTTTTAAACATTAACATAGATTTTAATTAAACTTGTAAACCCTAATTATAGTAATTAATATTTTATTAAAAAATACAAATGTAATAATAACAGGATGTTATTAGTTATTTTTTTTAAACATTTAATTATGAATATTGCTTTGATTTTTTTTATTAATTTGAACAAATTTCATTATTTTAGAACGGTCGCAAATACATTCACTGTAATCTATGTAAAAAATGTGTCAAAAAAACATGGAAACATTGTAAAGGTTGTCGGAAATGTTGTCTACCAGATCACAGATGCACAAATTCGATTATTAAGGTTTGTGTATAGATAACACATTAATTGTTTAAAAAATATGTTAGCAATATTTCATACAAAGTTTAAGTGTGGTACCGCTTAACAAATAACTTTTTTTTAAGTATTACCTGATTTTTTAAATCTAATTTCAATATATTTAAATTACTTTTTCCAGAGAAGTTCAGTGAATTCCAACGCTAAGAAAGGACAGAAGAAGCAAAAAAAGAATTAAAAATTGTAACCAAAAAATTAAAAGCAAATAAAATGAAGTAAAAATTATATGGACTAGATAAAATTTGAAAACTTTTTATGTGACTTTTCTATTGAATGAAACGTTGCTCTTTCCGAATGATTAACTGATATTGACTTCATTACATATATAAACATAAAAGTTAAAAATATTTGCCAATATTAAATTATTATTATTATAAATAATAAAACTAAGAAATAAAAAATAAAAAGAGTAAATAATAATAATTTAAAATTGTATAAGACTGTGACTGTTTAGGAATGACCTCTAAAATCTTTTTATTTTACTCAGTACTTTTGTTACTAATTAATATATTAATTTTTTTATTAATTGAAACCTAGATTTAAAAACTAATGATATTGTATTTAAAACAACAAAAAATAATTTTATTGATAAGAATGCTAGCGTTCACCTGAATAATATGTCTAGTTTCAGTTGTTTCGTAGATTCCTTTTTAGAAGGAACAAAAAAGTATAATTTTGAAATATATTATAGGTTATATGTCACAATATATTATTGACTGTTAGATCCAGTCATACAACTTTAGCTGGGTTATAAAACAGTTTTCATTTTCGATGTGAGACTTCAAAGTTCAAACCAATCCCTTTAGACATTGTTTTTTTATACGTAAAAACAATTGACCATTTTTATAAAAACACTATAGAACTTTTGTATTTTTATCTTATACTTCAGTTTTTAGAGTAAAAAAAATTAATTAACCTATATAGTTGAAAAAAAAAACCATTAAGTTGTAGTATAAGCTACAACCGCAGATATTTGTGTGAATATTATATCTTGCTTTGATCATTGATACGACAATATTGGTTTGCTGAGAAATTATGAGGGTTTAAGAATGTAGAAATCGTTTTGTGAGTTATATTTTATTCAATTTTATAGCTACGATGATATTCATTTTTGTATTTTATTGTATACTTTTATTTATTTGTAATTATTTAGCGCAAGTCTGTTAAAGTACCTTTAAGACCATGAATTGATCTATCGAGTGACACTAAATGGTTATTGTCAAGCTCACCTGTGTTGAATCCTATACTTGAAAATTATGTTTTGGTGACGCTTAAGTTTTCCAGATTGTATGGCACATCTGGTTAGTGCTATGGTGTTGGTTGTTATAGGTATACTTACGTTGTGTTTAAATTTTTCTAATAGATTATAATAGCCCGATAGGGGTTATTGCTATTTTTCCAATTTCTTAGAATAATTTCCACAAAAAATCAACAGTGTGACCAATTGAAGGTTATAGAATATTCAAATCAATGAAGGTCAAGTTCATATGGTTATTGATATTGTTGTAAAAATGACATAAAATTGTTTGCAGTGGTGTTGAACTCAGAAGGCATTGCTGATTTTATTGTTTGACTCGTTGGATGATAATTTGACTCGTTTGGCTGAAATGTGTTTAATCTTTCAAATTGATGAATTTTTTTATTTCTCCCATCAAAACTGCCTCTCTATTTGATTTCTATACAGATGATATCATTAAAGAGTTATATTAAAAAAAAACTACGAAATAGGCAATCGTCCAAAAATATTCAAGGATAGAATACTCAAGAAAAAAATCCAAATTTAAATATACAGGTTTGCTTACAATGTAGTGAGGTATTCTACTTATTTAAGTCTTGCCAAGTCATAAAAAAACAATAACTTCTCAGTTTCGAATTAAAACTAAACTATATAGTCTATAATAGGTATTTGAAAATATTAAAAAATTCATGGAATTGTATGAAAACTGAAAAGTAAGTAAAAAAAGTCAAATTTCATGGTATCGAATTAGCTACCAACTGCTTGTAAAAAATATACATCAAACCTATTTTTTTGTCACGATAATTGATTACGTTTCTTTTTAAATTTAACTTTCTTTTCAATACGATATTTTGTTCTTGACATTGACTTTCAACGTTGCTGTGTTTTATTTATATATTGACATGTAAGAAAACCTATCATCGTTTATTAGCAATTTCATTGTTAAGTTGACTCGTGTGTAGGTGATTTGTCACGGAAAGCAATTAAATAATAAATTGTTTTTAGACGATTATTATTATGTTAGGTACGAGTAGGTGTAATTTTTTTAGTTTGGTGTTTTGGGATTTTATTTTAATGAAAAAATAATTAATGTTTTCAGTACTTCAATTACATAACGCATGACACTTTATTGTTCCAAAATATTACCTACTTATTTTGCAGATTTTCATTTTATTTTTTAACGGGTGGGCTTTTTACAATGTTATAAATTTATCAACCGACCAGACAAATGTTCAGTAGGTTTTTTTCTTCTAAAAACGTTTATAAAATTCTTATCGTTACCGATTAACGCAAGAAAAGTGCATCAAATTTAATGTCAATACATTTATTTATACATTATACTTTTAACTATTTACGATCTTGCATCAGTGTTATTATTTAAAAGTGATCGTATCACTTTCAAAAATAATAATTCCTGCGATCCCGATCACACTGGGCTGACTTTATTAGTAGACACTTTTTGTGTAAAAGCATTTTAGTAGCATCATTTTTGTGAAAACTTATAAATTTTAATATATCAAGAATTAGTGTTTGACAGCAGCTCGTTTTTAGGACAATATTTCTGGGTAATCATTTTTGCTTACAAAATCAATAGGTATACCGTAGAATATAATGTATAAGTTCTCAAATATAATAGTAGAGTACATTTAGTTGTATTCATTGCTCGAACTGGAAAAAACGACGTAGAGGAACGCACGTTTCTAATAGGTAATTCAAATTTGCATGTTTAATTAACGTCTATTATTTATTTGAAACGTTTAATTCAATTGAATACCTATATTTCATTATTTAATAAAATAAAATCCATTTTTATAAATATTAGTACCTATTTAATTAACGAGCGTGGTTTTCAAAATACACCAGTGTTTAGTAAGTAGTTAAAAAAAAGACATTTATTGGAAACGCAATACATTTTGACAATATAACCTTGAAATTCGATGTGTCTATTTTTTAATACAATATAATATGATTCTAGTAAATTAAAATATAAGAGGAATGATTTGCATTTTAAATTTGTTTTTTTTTTGTATTATCGTAAAACACCTGTCATTATATTATTATTATAACTTAATGAAATAATTTTAGATATCTGCTATATTTAAAATTATCATTAACTATATTTTCCCTATAAACGAAGCAGACTCGAAGCTTAGTTTTAAATATATTTATGTATTATATATTTTAAAAGTTTTTACAGAGATTTATACAAGCGACGATTTTTGTCGGTAAAAAATGATTGTATAAACGTTATGAGTAATTTCGCCAAATTTGTCAGATGTTTTAGTCTGAATCCAAAAAAAAAAAACTACTTTCAATCCCCTTAATAAATAAGTAGGTACTATTAACTCTACTTGGGTAATTTTTACATAAATAAATTAGTTAGTGGAGTGAATGTATTCTTACACTATATTTATTACAGATCCAGGGTAACTGCATGTCATATTCATGTAGTCTATTAATGGCATTACAATTTACAGATTAAGATATATAATTTAATATTCTTGGAACGTTGATTTAATTAATTTCTATTGTCTCCTAATGAGGGTACCTATCTTCCTTTAATTGTGAAGATACGAATTAGATTACCGAATAACTAATAATTTAATTACCAATAATAGCTTTTGTGCTCTCAAAACCGCAGTACAATTGTTTAAACTGAGTTCTCCTATTTAGGGGAGGAGTGATTTGGTGAATCGTCGAAATTTTAGAAAAGTTCTCGTGTCTTCACGTTATTGATATGCAAAAATAATATTATTCTAAAATCAACAACTTCTCAGGTACTCAGATAGACGGGGAAAAAATTGTCTTGAGTTTGCAACGATAATTTTGGCAAGATTATCGTTGCAATGTTTAATAATATTGCTTACTATACAAATGCATAGGTACGTCATTTGAAGGTAACCTAGTAATCTACGACGGGACTAATTCCATCAATAGAGTCAGTAACCAGAAACAAACATATAATAGGTATTTCATACTTGATCCTATTTTAAAAGGCACGCTTATAAGCAATAATAAATATTAGCTGTTGGATAACGCATTATAATACGAGTATGTAATGACTAACTGTATTAAAATAAATTTAGGTATTGTAAATTAAAATATAATAGGTAATGCATTTTTTAAAAAAATTGTTAGGTAGTAACAGAGATATATCAACTGTTAAACATGTTTTGACAAAAAAGTAATTTTGTCTTTTGATAAAGCACTTCAGTGGAAGCTTCAGTGAAGTTTTATCCAGATTATCCTAAAAAAAATTCGGGTTGGTTAAAGGTGGCTTCAGATAATATTGCAGTAGCTGGCCCCCTTTCCCACTCTCTTTCAATTGCATTACTGAATCATAAACACTTATTGTTACACAGCATTAAAATTATTATTTATTCATTCATTAGGACTTGTTTAAAACAATTTGTTGTCTGTGTTTATTATTCAAATTTCACAACAAAATTAATACCAGTAATTTATCAAAACGAAGGTCGTTGGAGAAAAAAATGCATAGGTGTGTGCAATTTATTGCATTTTATTGTACTAAGGAACCTATTAGTCATTTTATTATTACACTGCTTTATTTTTGTACGAATTCTAGTCAAATAAAGTCTATCAAAAATGTTTATGCTTTTTTAAACGCGTATGGCTTTTAATCAATAAAGAATAAAACTAAGCAAATAGCATGAACAAATCTCAACAACGATTTTTCTTACTTATAGACTATAATATTTTTATGAACTATAATTAATATACAATTAAAAGTTTATTCGAAGCATATAAATATATGTTATGTAATATCTTTGTGCATATTAAAATATGCAAAATTTTTCAAATATATGCTCTTATCCTTAAAATATGCAAAATCAACATTTTCTAGTACCTATTCTTTGTTAAAGAGACGCTACCCGTACATTTATTAAAGAGTAAAGTATAGACAATTTTTTGTAAAATCTTAATTTAGAACTTAAACTATAGTGTTTACAATAATGATTCTATGAAAATTTATTCAATTTAGTCCTGTCCTATTCTCACACTACAGAGTACGAGTGAGTGGCGTATTCTAAACAAATTGTC